GACAAACACACAGCCAACATCATACTGTATGGGGAATAGCTGGAATCATTCTCCTTAAAAGCTGACATAAAGCAAGGATGCTTTCTCTCAACACTTCTATTCAACATAGTATTGGATGTCCTGGCCAGGGAAATCAGGCAAGAAAAAGGAAGGAAGGCATCCAAATTGAAATAGAAGTCAAACTATCCCTGTTTGCAGATGACATGTTTCTATATCTAGAAAACTCTGTAGTCTCAGCACCAAAGCTCCTTAAGCTGATAAACAATTTTAGAAAAATTTCAGGACACAGAATCAATGTGCAAAGATTACTAGCATTTCTATAAACCAACAAAAGTCAAGCTAAGAGCCAAGTAAGAAAAGTAATATAATTCATAATTGCCAGAAAAATAATAAAATACCTAGGCATACAGCTAATCAGGGAGATACAAAATCTCTATAATAAGAATTATAAAACACTGATCAAAGAAATCCGAGATGATACAAACAAGTGGAAAACGTATGCTCATGGATTGGAAGAATCCATATTATTAAAATGGCCATACTGTCCATAGCAATTTACAAATTCAATGCTATTGCTATCAAACTACTAATGACATTCTTCATAAAACTAGAAAAGTATTTACATTTTATATAGAACCAAATAAAAATACCAAATACTCAAGGCAATCCTAAGCAAACACACACACACACACACACACACACACACATACACACAAATTCTCCTACACACACACACACACACACACACAAACCCGAAGCTGAAGACATCATGTTAGCCAACTTTAAACTATACTACCAGACTACAATAACCAAAATACAAAACAGCATAGGACTGATAGAAAAACAGACACATAGACCTGTGGAACAGATAGGTAGTCTGAAAATAAGGCCATCACACATGCAACCATTTGAACTTCAGTAAAGCTAACAAGAACCAGCAATGGAGAAAGGATTCCGTATTCAATAAATGGTGCTGGGATAACTGACTAGACACATGCAGAAGATTGGAATTGCACCTCTTTCTTACACCATATAAAAATCAACTCAAGATGAATTAAAGCTTTAAATGTGAAACCCAAAAACATGAAAACCCTGAAAGGCAACCTAGGCAATACCATTTTGGTTATAGTAACTGGCAAATATTTCATGACAAACATGCCAAAAGCAATAACGACAAAAGCAAAAACTGATGAATGAGACCTATTAGCAATGACAAAATGAGACCTTTAAACTAATGGCAAAAACCACAATTGCTTCATAAAAATTAAAAAGCTTCTGCACAGCAAAATAGACTATCAACAGAGTGAACAGACAACCTTAAGAATAGGAGAAAATGTTTGTGAAGTATGGACAATAGTCCAATATCCAGCATCTAAAAGGAAGTTCAACAAATATACAAGAAAAAAACAAACAACCGCACTTAAAAGTGGGCAAAGGACATAAACAGACATTTCTCAAAAAGACATCCAAGCAGCCAACAAGCATATGAAAAAAGCTCAACATCATTGATCATTAGAGAAAAGTAAACCAAAACCACAATAAGATACCATCTCACACCAGTCAGAATGGCTAATTAAAAAGTAAAAAAAATAGCAGAAATAGCAGATACTGATGAGGTTGTGGAAAAGGGAAAGGTTATACACTGTTGGTGGGATTGTAAATTACTTCAATCATTGCAATTCCTCAAAACGCTAAAAACAGAACTACCATTCAACCCTGCATCCCATTACTGGTTTTATACCCACAGTAATATAAATCATTCTACCTTAAGGACACATGCAGCACTATTCACAATAGCAAAAACATGGAGTCAACCTAGATACCCATAAATGTTAGACTGCATATAGAAAATATGGTACATATACAGCATGGAATACTATGCAGCCATAAAAAGGGATGAGATCATGTATTTTGTGGAAACATAAATGGAGCTGTGGACCATTATCCTTAGTTAACTAACAAAGAAACAGAAAACAAAATATTGCATGTTCTCTCATTTAAGTGGAAACTAAATGATAACTCATGAAAACAGAGGGGAACAACAGACTCTGGAGCCTATTAGAGTGTGGAGGGAGGGAAGAGAGAGAGGATCAAAAAAAAAAAAACTATTGGGTACTACAGTTAGTATATGGGTGATAAAATAATCTGTATAGCATCCCCTGATGACACGAGTTTACTTGTATAGCAAACCTGGACATGTACCCATGAACCTAAAATGAAAGTAAAAACAAACAAACATGTATTTATTTTATCTTAATTTTAAAGGATATTTATGTTGTGTTAAAAATCTTGAGGTGGCCGGGCGCGGTGGCTCACGCCTATAATCCCAGCACTTTGGGAGGCTGAGGCGGGTGGATCATGAGGTCAAGAGATTGAGACCATCCTGGTCAACATGGTGAAACCCCGTCTCTACTAAAAATACAAAAAATTAGCTGGGCGAGGTGGCGCGTGCCTGTAATCCCAGCTACTCAAGAGGCTGAGGCAGGAGAATTGCCTGAACCCAGGAGGCGGAGGTTGTGGTGAGCCGAGATCGCACCATTTGCACTCCAGCCTGGGTAACAAGAGCGAAACTCCGTCTCAAAAAAAAAAAAAAAAATCTTAAGTTGGCAGTTATTTTGTTTTATAACTTTAAATATGTAGTTACACTTTTTGGCTTCTATAATTTTCTCCTTTATCTCAAAAGATAAGTTATCACCACCTATCAATCAAAGGTGTATGCACATATTTATTTATAACATAAATAATAACTCAGACTACTCTTTGGAAATGAAGAAAACTGCTCATAAGTTTATGCTTGAATTTCCAATAATTTGAGACTGAAATATTGTCTATATAAAGCAGGCATTTCATATTTGGGTAAATTGTCCCCTTTCTCACTGGTTCTTTGTTGCCTTTTCTAGTGATATCCCAGGTGAGATGTATGTGCAAGACAATTAATTGAAGTGTATAAATAAGTCATTAAAACTTGAATTTACATGTTTTACTTTATATTTTGAAAATTTCTATTTTAATATATATTTTATAATATATATGATTACAGTAGACTATGAACTATTCACACACATATTATGTTGATGTGTTCAAAATTGTTTTCTGATAAAATCTTTGAAAAATAAGTTAAAAAATGTTACTTTAGACAGTGGGAAGGAAGTAAAAATTTATGCAGGTGCAAAGTCTTTTTCTTAGGGTATAAAAGCAGTGATCAAGTCAGCCTGTCAGACTTCCAAACTATTAAATTTCCAGGGATGTAGGTCGTACCATTTTCTAGCTGCTCTATTGAATTAAGTGGCTTCACTACAGACAAATAGGTCATTGATCAATTGCCTTTGGAAAAAGCAAAAGCACAAACTTGAACTATTTGAGACATCTATAAAGTTTTCTTTTGCGTAACAATTTAGAGCAGTGGTTCTTAAACAGAGCTGAGTATCAAAGTCACTTAGGGAAGGTTTACAATACAGACTTGATTTACTCAATCCAGAAATTTTGATTCATGATTCTGTGAGCAGTTCTCAGATGTGTTTATGTTTTTAAAATTTCCAAATTAATTCTGATATTTACCTTCACTTTTGTGTCACTGGACTAGATATTTATTGACTAATGTCTCCAAAAGCCTTCCTAAATAAGTCAGTGATTTATTTTTGTTTGTTTTGTTTTTGTTTTTGTTTAGAGATTGTAGAAAGCCTCTCTCTTTTTATATTGTACTTTGTACTTTAGGTTCTGGGGTACATGTGAAGATCATGCAGGATTGTTGCATATGTCAAGGTGGTTTGCTGCCTCCATTCCCCCATTACCTGTATCTGGCATTTCTCCCTATGTTATCCCTCTCCACCCACCACAGGCCCTCCCTAAATCCTCTAACAGATCCCAGTGTATGATGCTCCCTTCCCTGTGTGCATGTGTTCTGTGAGTCAGTTGTTATTTAATAATGAGTGTAGGTCCGATTTTGTGCTGGGCACTAGCACTTTACTTTAGAAAATGAAAATAGATTTCAGTTAAATATGAATACCTTCGATCATTTTGACTTATTTTGTTTTGTGTTTAAAAACTTGATGATTTAGGTAAATCAAAAAAGTCAAAATCTACGGCAGAGGTATCCAATCTTTCAGATTCCCTGGACCATATTGGAAGAAAAATTGTCTTGGACCACACATAAAATACACTAACGACAGCTGATTAGCTAAAGAAACAAATTTTAAAAATCCATAATATTTTAAGAAAGATTAGAAATTTGTGTTGGATAGCATGCAAAGCCCTCTGGGCCACATGTGGCCTGAGCATAGATTGCACAAGCTTATTAGGATATGCATTTATATAAGCATAACCTCAATGTTAGAAATGATTATATTCACTGTTCCAGCTAATAAGGAAGTAACATTTTCCAAACACATAATGCCATGCTTATTTTTGGTAGACAATACTGATTAGTACCAAACGAAATGGGAACCTTCCAAATGGACACTATCATGGACCAGTTATCCCTGTGTAGAGAGACAATTTAAAATCCAGGTCAACACTTATATGTACCCCCAACAGACATTAGTGATTTGATGTAACTTCTGAAAACATTAAAATGTTGTGAGTTTTCCTCAGAATTTATTTAGTGAATTAAGAAAATTCTGCCTTAGAGTTTTTCACTAGAGGATATTAACTGGTTCAATTTATTGTCCTATATCATTAAGTAAGAGATTACTTACATTAGTGTTTTTATTTCAGGTTTCTGCTTAAGTTTCTAGTAAAAATACACTTCGTTTAGAATAGGGAGACTGTAATATGAATTAAAGGTAGACATTATTAAATAATGGAGATATGAAAATGAATAAAAGTTTTTGAAGTGTTGCAATAGAAATGAGTGACAATAAGACAGTTCCAAATCACTGCTGAAACATAGCATTGGGCTTTGTTTCTTAGAAATAAAGGATAGTTTACTTTAAAAAATAATAATTATTATTATTGGTTTTCCATAATACAAATTTAATTAATGCATTTTCTTCTTTTAATAGACTAGAAGTAAACACCAGAACATACGATAATTCCATTCCAAGTAAGAATTTAGTTATTGAAGTTTAATATGTCTTAGACTGGAAAATAATTTTAGGAACTAATGACTAGTGTATTCCATTAAATGTGATAAAGCAGAAACTTCTATGAATTTTTGTTAAAATTTTATAAAAGTATGTATGTGTGTATATTCATATGCATATGTTGATTGGTGTATATGTGTTTGTGTATATTTCTGGCCTTGATGTAGGTTTGCACTCCCCGGTTTTGAAGAAAGATTTATTGTTATTCTTCAAAATACAAAACAACTTTGCTTGTATAAGATTCCCTTGTGTTTAAAATTCATAATTACAGTAAAGAAGACAAATAAAGTCAGAGAGATGAAAGTTGTTAATGAACAGGCCATTTGTTGAACAGCTACAACTTTAGCAAAGTTTTCCTTAATATACTGAGCTGAAATCTGTCTGCAATGCTATAACTATTACTCATTTGTTCTAGCCCATCCTTCAGAATACATATAAAAGAAGCCTATAACACTGTGATTAAGAGCATGGGCTCTGGGGCAAAAGTACCTGTGTCTGAATCAACTCTACTATTTACTAGCTTTATGATTTGGGGCAATTAATTTAAACTCTCCCTGTCTCTGTGCTTTATTTTTCCACAACTAGAAAATGGAGACAATTATATTATCTAATCCAAAACATCGTTGTAAAGATTTAACAAGTTTATGAAAATGCTTAGAATACCAGTGTGGCACATAGTAAAGATTTCATAAGTGTTAGTGGTTGCATCTATGCTATTATTACTATGACTACTATTTTTTTTTAGGAAGAGAGGAAGGCAGGAAAGGAGGGGAGGAGGAAGGAAGGGATAAAGGAAGGAAGGGAGGAAGGGGGGAGGGAGAGAGGGAGGAAAGGGAAGGAAGGAATGCAAGCAATGAGAGAGACGTTGCCGACCTGGATCTAGAGGTTTACAAGTTGATTTCTTTTTTTGAGAGAAGGAAAGAAAAAAAATGAGTAAAGGAGAGAAAGAAAGAGGAAGAGAGAGAGGGAGGGTGAATGGAAATACTGCTTTATTCTGAAAAAAATAATGGGTATTAATAATGGCCAATCAATGTTTCATTTAAACCTATGAGTAGGTGTGATGTGGTATTGACAAGAATGTATATTTTATGTATTTGAAATGGAGAACTCTATAAATATTTATTAAGTTTACTTGTTCCAGATCTGAGTTCGAGTCCTTGATATCCTTATTAATTTTCTGCCTCATTGAATCTAAGTCTTTATGTATCTGGGTGTTAGGATCGTTAGCTCTTGTTGTTGTATTGATTCTTTTACCACTATATCTTTAAAATCTATTTTCTCTGCTACGAGAATTGCAACTCCTGCTTTTTATTTATTTATTTATTTATTTATTTTTGCTCTCCATTTGGTTGGTAAATCTTTCTCCATTCCTTTGTTTTGAGTCTTTGTGTATCCTTGCATGTGAAACATGTTTGGATGTAACATGCCGTTGGGTTTTGGCTGTGTCTTTTGATTGGGGGATTTAGTCGATTTAAATTTAGGGTTACTGCCATTTGATGTTAACTGGCTGTTTGATCCATTCATTGATGAAAATTCTTCTTTATGTTGGTGCTCTTTACTTTTTCGTATATTTTTAGTAAGGCTAATACTGGTTGTTTCTTTCTGTGTGTAATGCCTCTTTCAGAAGCTCTTGTAAAGCAGGCCTGGTGGTAATAAAATCTCTGAGTACTTGCTTGTTCATAAAAGATTTTGTTTTTCCTTCAGTTGTGAAGCTTAGTCTGGCTGGATATGAAATTCTGGGCTGAGGGTTCTGTTCTTTGAGGATGTTGAATATTGGCCCCCATTCTCTTCTGGCTTGTAGAGTTTCTGCTGAGAGATCTGCTGTAAGTCTGATAGGCTTGCCTTTCTCCTGGCTGCCCTTAGTATTTTCTCCTTCGTTTCAACCCTGGTGAATCTAACGATTATGTGCCTTGGGGTTGCTCTTCTTGAGGAATATCTTTCTGGTGTTCTCTGTATTACCTGGGGTTGAATGTTGACCTGCTTTGCCAGTTCAGGAAAATTTTCCTGAATAATATCCTGAAGGGTATTTTCCAGCTTGGATTCATTCTCTCCGTAGCATTCAGGTACACCTATCAAACGTAAATTTGGTCTTTTCACATAGTCCCACATTTCTTGGAGACTTTGCTCATTCCTTTTTATCCTTTTTTCTCTAATCTTGTCTTCTTGTTTTCTCTCATTAAGTTGGACTTTGACCCTGATATCCTTTCTTCTGCTTGAACAATTCGAGTGTTTAAACATGTGCATACTTCTCAGAGTTCCCGTATTGTACTCTTTAGTTCCATTAATTCACTTATATTCCTCTCTAAGTTGTCTATTCTCAATAGGATTTTGTCAAACTTTTTTTCAAAGTTCCTAGTTTCTTTACATTGGGCTACATGTTCTTTTAACTCACAGAAGTTTCTTATTATCCATTCCTTGAAGAGTGATTCTGTCATTGGGATGCGCTTATTCTCTGCCAAGCCTTGTTCCATTGTTGATGTGGAACTGTGATCATCTTTAGAGGGAGAGGCGTTCTGATTTTGAGTATTCTCAGCCTTTTTACGCTGGTTTCTTCCCATCATTGTAAGTTTATCCTCCTGTCATCTTTGAAATTACCAACTTTCAGATTAGGTCTCTTGATTGGACATCCAAGTTGTTAGTTCCCAGGGCCAGAACTGTGGCGTTAAGACTAATGGTGCTTTTCTGCCCAGGATTCTCCTGTCTGGCTTCCTTCTTGTGTCCGTAATGGGCGACTCTGCCTTCCCCCGGCTCCAAACCTTGGTCAGAAGGGGAACCAGTCTCGTTTACTCTGCGCCAAGAGCTGCTGCGCCGAGGTGCCGGTGAAGCTGCTGCGCCGGCCACAAGACTCGCGCTGGCAACCCGTGTGGTTCCTCCACTGGGGATCTTCTGCTCCATGAGCAACCAGAATTTGTCTGAAAGTGTGGCGTCCTCTAGTTCTCTGCGCTTTGACTGAGAGCTGCAATCCCGAGCTGTTATCGATTGGCCATCTTGGATCGTTTCCAACTATGACCACTTTTCTCCAATATAGTAGCTCTTTGAAAGTCTAAATATAGTTACCATACCTCTGATTAGTCCCTCCATCTCCAAGAGAGCTATCTTGAGTTTCCTCACCAGTTCTTCTTTTGACAAAGTTCTCAGATAGTTTGATCTCCCTGATCACACTGTTCTGGTTGTCCTCAAGTATGTATATGCCCGTCTTTAAATAGAATCCCAAGAATGGAATGTACAATTTCCATCTACGGCCCTAATTCCTGTGGTTTGGGATGCCACTGAGGTCAGAGAAGTGCTAAAAGAAACACTCAGATGTAATCAATCAAGACTTTTACTGACTGATGTCATCACCATGCTAGTTATTATAAAAAGTACAGAAGAAGTTATATTGTCTGCAATCTAATTAAAGTGACATAAAGGGGAAAAAAAGCCAGGGTAGAAGAGAGGATGTAGATATTTTAAAGGAAACAGTAAATCTCTATTTTCTATTCCTAATGTTTGATTACATTATTTTACCATCATGATTTAAGTAGGTGTGAAAATCAGTTTAATGTAGAAAATAAAATTACAAACTTCATTTTAAGTAAAATTCAGTGATAAATAGGAAAAGTGGCTTTTATTTTCTCTACTTACTAGGCAAATAAACTAGAAACTCTGAGGGAAACATTTACATTTTAATTTATAACTTAGCTTAATTTAAAAGATATGTTTCTTACTTAGTAATATTTCAGGTCTGTGGAAAATCTGACATTAACTCCAAATTGTTTATTGTTCTTTCTCATTTTAGTCAGTGAATCAAGCAGAAAATCATGGAATGAAAAACACCTTGCTTTGACATTTCCCAAACGACCCCAGAGAGGTAGAAATGATAAATCAAGACCTTTGAAATCACAAGTAACAGTTACTGTAAGTACAGAATTTATTTTTAAAAACAAAATCTATGTTGGTAAAACATATAAATATAGTAAGTAAGCCTATGTAACTTGAATTTGTCTATCTGTTGGAAGATTTTTTTATTTGTAATTCTCTGTACAACAGACTGCCCTACCTGCTTTAGATCAAGCTTATATTTGTACATCTTTATCTACACCAAAGACATTATATAAGCGAGCTGGATAACCTAATACTGAAACTAGCAGGCTTACCAGCTGCAAAAGCAGCTAAAATTTTAATATTAAAGCAGAAACTGATCTTAATGAGGTTTTAAGGCCTCCCTATTTTACAAAATATGAAATTCAATATACTTGATATTAAGAGATTCAAGTTTTCTACTGCTTCTCTAAAGTGGAGTTATCCTATTAATTAGCGAAAGGAAAAATAATCATATATTGATCACCTACTGTGATATCAAACAATGTTTAAAGCATCTCCCAGAGCACAGTTACAGTCAATGCATTTATTCAAGGGTCATTTATTACATCTGTAGTGATCTAATTTTCATGTTTCTCTTATGGTTATCTCTTAAATCTCAAAAACATTTGATTGTTAGCACCTTTACTGAATAATTAAGGGAAAATAAAAAGTAATTCTAAAATCTGTCTTTATGGTTACGTATGACAACTAGATTTGACAAATATTTGAGAGAGTGTTGAAAATAAATTACTGGGGAGGGATAACATTAGGAAAATTGCTTAATGTAGATGACAGAGGGGATGGATGTGGTAAACCACCATGGCATGTGTAAACCTATGTGACAATCCTGCATGATATGCACATGTACCCCAGAACTTAAAGTATAATTAAAAAGAAAAAGAAAAGAAATTACACTAGTGCTGCACAAGCTAATGTAAATCAGCATTTGTTTATTTCATTCAATTTATGTCTTTATATTTTGCAGTGCAGCTGGGGGTCATGGGCTCTCAATTTGACAAGAAACTTTAAAAGCAGGAGTAGATATCAGACTAGGGTTCTACAACTATTACAGAACTGTCATAACAAACTTCAAGAGGATCAGTTTATTTCTAATTTAACTTGGGGATAAAGGTTGTTTAAATTGTTCCAAAAGATTTCCCCCATATAGAAGTCCCAAAAGGCCTGCTGCTATTTTTTGAGGATAAGTCCTGGAATGTTATGGATCACTGTGGGCCTGCCCCAATCATAAAGTTTCCACTAAAGTCATTTTATTTTCAAAGTGGAGTTTCTCTCTCTCTCTCTCTCTCTCTCTCTCTCTCTCTCTCTATATATATATATATATATATATATATATATATATATATATATATATATATAAATCTCCCCAGTGTTATCTGTTATCCCTCCCCTCCTCCCTGCCCCCACCCCCACTGACCCACCACCTCTCCTCTCCACCCCCTCACCTAGGCCTGTGAGTGTTGTTCCCTTTCTGTGCCCAGGTGTTCTCATTGTTCATCACCTGCCTATGAGTGAAAACATGCAGTGTTTGGTATTGTGTTCCTGTGTCAGTTTCCTGAGAATGATGGTTTCTAGGTTCATCGTGTCTCTACAAAGGACATGAACTCATCTTTTTTATGGCTGCATAGTATTCCATGGTGTATATGTGACACATGTTTTTGTCTGGTCTGTCATTGCTGGGCATTTGGGTTGGTTCCAGGTGTTTGCTATCGTAAACAGCACTCAATTAATATAGGTGTGCATGTGTCTTTATGAAGGAATGATTTATAATCTTTTGGATGTATACACAGTAATGAGACTGCTAGGTCAAATGGAATTTCTATTATGTCCCATTATAGAAAGACATAACTCATTCACAAAGGATTATTGTTCTTACTAATCTTTTCAGAGTCATGACAAAAGAAAGTCAGAAGAAGTCCAGAAACCAGCTTATGTATGGATAATGCATTCTTTAAGAAGAATTTTGCAGTGGCCCTCTATTAACATAGCTGCCAGGAAACAGACTCCATTCAGACATCTTTATACTTCCAAAACCCATCTTAAAAATGCAGAATACAAAGAGTCCAAAGATGAAAAAGGAGGAACACCTTTGAAGAAAGATTTCAAGAATAAAAGAGGCTCATATGCAACAAATCCAGAATCCAAGAAAACAGTAGAAGATGAGAAAACTAAAAGACAAAACGAGACAGTTAAAACTTTCATAAAATCATCACATGAAAATAGACTATCTAAAAAGTCAAAACCCAATTTGGAAACGAATTCAGAATCCAAAAATTCTAAGGCAGTCTCAAAAACTTATTCACAGAAAGATAAGAAAGATTCAAAGGATTCCAAGAAGAAAAACACTGAATCCATACATACAAAGAACAATCCAGAGATAGATTTGAAGAGGCCAAAGACTATTAATGATGTCATACTAGAAATTTTCTCAGAAAATAGTTTAAATGTTGATTTTCTGATGTTAGTAGAAGGGTCTGATGATGAATCCATAAGTTTTGATGCATGGTTAAGGAATTACTCACGGAATAATTCAAAGAAGCCTGCAAAGAGGGACGCAGAAAAGGATGCAAAGAGAAGCTCTGGTGCTGAATCTGAAGACTCAAAGGATTCTGAGAAACAGTCAAAGAAAAGTAAGACAAGTGCCAAGAAAGATGACAAGAAAAAGGATGTAAAGAAGGGCACAGAGTCTACTGATGTTGAATCTGGAGACTCAATGGATGTAAAAAAGGATTCAAGAAAGTCAAAGAAAGCTTCAAAGAAAGATGACAAAAAAAATGATGCAAAGAAAAATACAGTCTCTACTGATTCTGAATCTGAATTGGAGTCGAAAAAGAGTCAGAAAGATGAAAAAGGGAATAAAAAATCTTCACGGCAAGATAAAAAGTCTGTCAAGAAGAATGAAGAGTCTACTAATGCTCATTCTGAATCTGAAAGAGATTCAAAAAAGGATAAAAAAGATGAAAAGAAGGGGAAGAATTATTCAAAGAAAGATGACAAAAAGAAGGATGCAAAGAAAAACGTAGAATCCTCTGAAATGGAATCTGATTTGGAGTTAAAGAAGGATAAGAAAGACTCAAAGAAGGAAAAGAAAGGCTCAAAGAAGGATGTCAAGAAGGATTCAAGGACAGACACAGAGTCTACTGATACTGAATTTAATGAATCTTCCAAGACAGTCTCTAAAAGGTCTACAAAACTCAAAGGTTCAGATACTGAATCTGAAAAGTCACTGTATAAACCTAGGGCTAAAAAGAGAGTTGATGAATCAAATGGCACAACTGCAAATTTAAAGAAGGAAGGACTGAAATTAAATACAGGATTCACAATGTCATCCAAGAAGACTACATTCCAAGAGAAAGGGGGAGAAGCAAGTGCAGGTAGAGTTCCTTCATCAAGAGAAAGACCACCACTTCCTCCTTGTGACCCTTTTCTACCATCACCAAAGGTCAAACGTTTTTGTCTGTGCAGGATGCCTCCTCCCTCTCCAAAACCAAGATATGCCCCTTTGGTAAGTTTACTACTGTTTTATTTTTAGGCTGAAATTCATATAAAATGAAAGATGTTTTTAAAGTTTGCATTTATATTTTCTCCAAATGATAGTTATCTTTTACTAGAATATTAACAACTTTGACTCGAAGGTAAGAAAAATAAAGAGTACTTTGCAAGTACTCAAATACTGCAAAAAAAGTTATAAATTTAAAAGAATAGAAATTATATTGACTAGTGCAAAGAGAACTGACTCGTGATTTAAGAAAACATGTGAATTTATGTATACATAAGGTCATTTTGCAAAAAAAGTGGTTAAGTTTTATACTTGGAAAAGAACAAAAATGAAAATTGACTAAAACTTCTACAGGAGCAGATTTAAGCGAGATATAAAGACATTTCCTGAGAAGTTGCCAAATACAATAAAAGCTAGATTAACCAAAATCCATACACAGCAGGTGGAATACATACCAAGATTCAGCTGTGCAAAAAATTAAATTATTTAATCCACATCTCAACTGGAGTTTTTATGAGCCCTCATCATAACTGATATCAGGAAACAAAAGTCAACTTTTCAGAAATAAATATATCTTCTCTAATTTATAAGTCTTAGGTTAAATTTGACTAATTGGGGGTAAATACGCTGTCCACTTAGAGTTACTACTTCTCTCATCCAGGATACCTCCCCTTCAATCCCTACCCAAATAGTCTGATTGTAAGGGAAAGTGTAAACAGACATCTTACATTAGACAGAGGAGCTCTGCATTAGTCCGTTTTCACACTGCTGATAAATATACATCTGGGACTGGGCAATATACGAAAGAAAGAGGCTTAATTGGACTCACAGTTCCACTTGTCTGGGGAGGTCTCACAATCATGGTGGAAGGTAAGGAGAAGCAAGTCACATTTTACTTGGATGGCAGCAGGCAAAGAGCACTTGTGCAGAGAAATTCCCATTTTTAACACCATCAGACCTGTTGAGACTCATTCACTATCACAAAAACAATGTAGGAAAGACCTGCCCCCATAATTCAATCACTTTCCACCAGCTTCCTCCCAAGATGTGTAGGAATTGTGGGGTTACAATTCAAGATGAAATTTGGGTGGGGACACAGCCAAACCATATCAAGTTCCTATTCCACATGTTTTCTTTCTTTCTGGCTTTACGATTTTCGGTTGAGGTGTAATTCATTTACATGATTTCTGGGCATCAACCTTTGTTTTCTTTGCTTGCATGATAGTCATTGTTTATTCCAAACATGGTAGGGCTGCTGCCCTCTCTCCTGCTAAACTCAGAACAATTGTAGCTATGACTAGTTCTTGACCCCAAGTTTCTCATTTTCATTAATTTCTTCCTCCCTTTCTTCTCCTTTCTCCTTCTCATCTTCTTGTTCTTCCAATCAAGAAGTTTATATATCCTCTTTTAGACGCAGAGAGATCTCTTTTATCTTATATATGAAGTATTTTCTATCTTTGGTTTATAATAAAATTTTACTTACATACATCAATTTGCTCCTCATATATTAATATTTTGGAAGTTAACAACACCTTTTATCACTCTTGGAAAGCCTGGGTTTCAAGTAGACCCCAAAACTCTGCTGTGAGACTCAAAGGTGGTTAATGACCCCTTTGCTCTAGGTGCTATCTTCTCTCTCTACCAGATTGAGTTAATTGATGGCTAGCCACTAGAGTGATAAAACTTAAAAGGAATGAAAGTACACTGGGAAATAATTTTTAAGATAAATAAGAAGAAAGACTCTCAAATACCTAGACTCTTCCACAGGCAGTTTTTAGGAAAAATAATTAAAATATAAGAAAAAATTGAATACAAGGATTAATTTTAATTGTAGTAAAAAAACTTTCAGAGCATGTTCTAGGCCTGTACAGTTCATGTCAAGTCTCTTTAATAAACTTCCATATGCACAGCCACCATTCAGTTAGGCTTTTCTATCTCTACTCCACTGAAACTTTTTAAAAAATGTTATCAATACCTTCTTGTGGCCCTATCTACAGATTTTTCCTCCCCCCTCACCTTATTCCATAATTCAACACAATTTAAACTAACCTCTCTGTCTGGAAATATTTCCCTTACTTCACTTCTATGACCCTGTGCTCTCCTGTTTTTATTTCTACATACTGGTACCTTTTAACCACCTTTATTGTATCCTTCCCTGCCTCATTATTAAAAATTGGAATGATCCTGTTTTTGTACTGGACATTCTCTATTTACAATCCTCCCTTTGTGAGTTTATAGAGTTAAGTGTCTCTAAATATTATCTATGTATTGACAATTCCAAAATTAATATTTTCAGTTACGACTCTCCAGTTGAACTCCCAGGTCTTCTCCCTAGCCACTTACTTGAAATCTCCACTATAGTACCTACTGGGCATCTCAAACTTAAAATGTTTAAATAGTACTTTTAACCCACACCAAATTCTATTCCTCTCCTTGCCTTCTTCATCTTATCAAATGGCACCGCCATCCAACCAGTTGGTTTATTTTAAACATGGACATAATCTCTGTCTCCCTTCTATTTCTCACCCTCCACAGGTAATCAATTCATTAACTCATATTATGCAGGCTGGTCTTGAACTCCTGGCTCAAGAAATCTTCCAGCCTTGGCTTCCCAAAGTGCTGGGATTGCAGATGTAAGCCATCATGCCTGGCAGAATGAAATTTCTTACCCTAGCTTCCAAAGTCTACAATATATAGCCCCTACTCATTTTTCACCCTAATCATGTAGCGCATTTTCTCTTTTCTTTTGTCACATAGCCAAACTGGCATTCTTTTTGTTTGTCATAAATACTAAGATTGTTTTCTTGCAAAGCCTTTTTATATGCTGTTTCCTCTGATTGGAATGTTCCTCCCACAGAACTTTGCCTATCTAGTTCTTCCCTTTATTTACTTTTTCAGCTTCAGTGTTCTCTATAGGGAAGCCTTCCCTGACTACCTTGTTTTGTTACCTTCCTCTCCATCACTATCCAGTCAATTTCCGAACACTGCATTGTATATTATTTGTCTTCATTGAATTTATCTTTATCTAAAATTATATTTTATTCCTTTTTTGTTAGTTACATTCCTCATTAGAATTCAGGTTCTATGCAGGCAGCAAATCTTGATATATATATACATATCTGCAGATTCAAAAACAGCACCTATGTTATGTTTAGCTGCTTGAGAATTTGGTCCCTCTAAAGAGCTACATATCATACCACAGTAGTAGACATTTGGATATCCTTTTTTTCAAGCGTTTTTACTCTAGACATGTCATTAAGAGAAATAAAGTATTTTTTTAAGTCAGGGGAGTCACAAAAATTCACTTTACATTCTAAGTGGATGTCTGGGGGAGAATACCTATGTATCCTGTTCATTTGTGTATGGGGAACTTATGAACAAACTATGTTATTGAAACTTATGGAGTTTTATTATTTCTTTTTTTTTGTAATATGTGCTTGAAGAATGATGACTATCCTTTTTTTCTCCTCCACTGGAGTCGCACTGACTCTCACAGCAGCACATAAGAAGCACATAAGCAGTACTGTATTTCAGGGTCAGCACTGTTTACACTCCTGGATTGTTTACATTTGATATTATGTTTATAAATCTTTGCAATATTCTCAATCACAAATGAAAATTCTTTATACTCCAGGTGCTAAGGTAGAAAAGTAGGGTGTTATGTTTAGGGTGATTTGTTTTCCATACTGATTTTTCCATATGTGTGTGTGTGTGTACATATACACACACACACACATATATATATATATACATACATATATATATATTATTTTTGATAGCAAAAATACAAATACAACAACAGAAACAATATAAAATATGTAAAGAAAAGCTAATCATTTACCTTCTTATGTCCACTTTCTGATGCTATATCTCTCTACGTTTTCTTCTTCTTGAGGTAAACAATGTTAACAGCCTGGGGGCCATTTCTCTCTTTTAGACCATTCCTTGTACAAGCAAATGTAAGGAGGTAGAGAGAAACAATCAGATAATTTGTTTTGACCAAAATACAATCATGCTCTTGTATTAAAATACAAGTTATTTTTTCACTTGACAATATCGTGGTCATCCATATAAGTCGTTAGACATATACCTAATGTTATTGTTCTTATTTACAACTTGGTTATGAAAACACACGCAGAATTTAATGTGTCAGAATACCATACATTCTGAATTTGTTTTCCTTCCATCTTTTAAGTTTTTATTTTTGCTTATTTCTCTACTTCTCATTCCCACTTTTATCCATTGTAACTTTTTTCTCCTTTTTAGGTAACATTTATCAGCAACTTACTATGTTTCATTCCATACTTCTTGCCAAGTTTCACTTTACCATATTAACCGTTCAAACACACACACACACAGAGACATACACATACAGACAGAGGTGGCATCTGGGAGCAGGAATGAAAGTGTATGGCAGCTGGGAGCAGGAGGAAGTGAGGTTTTCTTACCATTTTATTTAAAAATAAAGAAATAATGCATACTTCTTTGCATCTTGGTCAGCCATAGTTATTAGAGCTCTTCCTAACTTTTGCTGTTCTAATGGATGCATAATGATATCTCATTGGTACTTTCATTTGCATTCTGCTGAATGCTAGTGAGCTTAAATATCTTTTGAATATTTGTCATGCCATAGGCTTGATCTTTTGAAAATTATTTCTTTGTATTCTTTGTGCATTTTTCTCATGAATTATTTATATGTTTTTTGCATTTATTAGTCTCTTTGCATATTGTAGGTATTAATCCTTCATCTGTCTTTCTTGTTGTATTTTCCCCAACTTTCATGTCTATTAATTATTCCACAGTGTATATTGCTGTGCACAAATGCTAAATTTTTACATAGTCAAATACATCTATAATTGTTTTGATTGTTCCCTAGCTTTCTGTATTAGATAAAATTATCTTCTCCACAGAGTAGTCTTTAACAGGGACTAATACAAACAAAATTTAGTCCTTAGTAAATAATAAACTGTCATCAATGTCCAAATTGATCATTTTGGCAATCAAGG